CGATTTGTATTTTAAGTCTCTCTCTCTCTAATTTATTTTACGTTTATTCATTTTTGAGAGAGACAGAGAGAGACAGAGCATGAGTAGGGGAGGGGCAGAGAGAGAGGGAGACACAGAATCTGAAGCAGGCTCCAAATTTCCTACATCAGAGACTGCATTTCTCTTTAACTTTTTGCAGGGCTCAGCAGACTGTGGCCCCAGGGGCCAGCCACCTGCTTGGCAAATAAAGTTTTACTGAAACACAGTCACACTCATTCATGTAGGCATTGTGTCTGGCTGCCTTTGCAATACAACAGCAGGTGTCAGTGTTGAGACAGGCAGTTGTGCAAATATTTGCTTAAATATTTGCTACCTACTCATTTAAAGAAAAGTGCACCACCACCCCCCCATCCAGCATCAGAAAGAAATGTATCTACAGCAAGACATCCTCAGTCTTTCAAAACAAAATTAATTCAAGATAAGATGTTCACTTCTGTTATGCATTTTAAAGTAATTACTAAATAATTAATTGATTTGGGTCTCATGCATTACTTCTAACCTACCCATCCTCACTGACCGGTATCCATTATTAAACTAAGAGAAAATCAAAGCACCAGATTGGATACTGAAAGGTCACCTATAGCCTAGAAGCAGGAGAGCCCTTCAAAATCTATGATTCGTTCTGTTTTCTCCGAAGACTGTTAAGAAAAGCTGAGGGGGCGGAGGGAGGCGGAAAAGACATACACACAAAGCTAGAGACTACTAGGAAAATTGTTTAAAGGTTTTCCCAGTCTGGTATTCTGTAAATATGCAATGCTGAGATGACATTGCCATTCGAATCTTCTTGCTTGTTACCAGCTCCCTTTTTGCGCTTTTCAGTAGAACAGTCTGCTTTACTTAGTTAGTTAGTCTACTGTCATGATTGGATGCACTTTCCGGGAAGGTTACTAACCTTGATGGTGGGGAAGACAGTTCATACCTGTTCCCCTGACAACACCCACCCTTGGGAAGAGAAAACAATAAAACAGATGGCAGTAACAACATTAACGAAATCTTTAATAGGAATCCAACTTCTCCAAGCCTTCACAGCCATATCATAAAAATATTTCTATGGACTGCGGGAATTTTCTATTTCAGATGCCTCTAAACTGCAAGTGGGCTGGGCAGGGGGGAGGGGGAAACGTCTCCAGTCTACATAGAGAATGTCCACAGTCTTACCTGCATGATATAGTTGCACTCCAGGAGCTGCATTTTTGGATTGAGGTTCAGTTTCATGAATGTATATATATCTTCAAATATTTTATCATACAGAGTCTGGAATACAGAAGCTTCCTGCGCGGTGCGCTTCTTCAACCACGCCTGCAGCAAAGAGACAGAACCTCAGTTTCCCAAGGATGTGAACCCCGGGTAGCCGCTGAGCACACACTGGCGTGGGTCTCCTGTCCCCACCTGCAATATCGGCCTCCAGCTGAGCGCAGAGCTGCTGATATAGACCATGCCCATCCTGGAAACTGTGGCAGGGGAAGCATTCTCAATATTGTGGACTTCAAACAAAAGCTTGCAATTCGGAGCCATGGGAATGCGATCTCCATTAGCTAACGTGAGAGTTTTATTGTCATCCAACACAGAATTTAGGTTCTCGATCCAAATGGCATCCACGGGGCCATCTAAAATGAGGAAAATGTTTTCACCTGCAAATAATTAAAAGGGAAAATCACTTTTCACCTGTAAAAAAATTAAACGTTGTGTTATTAATAAACTGACGGGGGGGGAGGGGGAAGCTTCACAAAGGAGAGTTGAGGTGTACCTTTTTTAGCTTTTAATGTTTTTCTCCACAGAGTAGAAAAAATCCCATCTGTCCAGTCATTAGTAGCGGTGTCCAGTCTGCCAAACATCTGAGGCGCGGTAATCGCTTTGGGATTCATTCGCATCTCTCTGTGAGGTCTTCCGCACTCAGTCAATGCCTTCATCAGGATTGTTATGACAGTCGTCTTCCCAGAACCACTGGGCCCCAGAGTCATCAAACCATGACGGACCAGAGACGTCTCATATAACTGCACAATGAAGCAAGCAATTGAAAAATGGAACTAATGAGTCTCTTGCTGACACTCATAGCAGCGTGCTGAAATTTAAAAAGCTTTCAATAAGCTATTAAAAGTAACTAGTTCAGGGGCGCCTGGGTGGCTCAGTCCGTTGAGCGACCGACTTCGGCTCAGGTCATGATCTCGCGGTATGTGAGTTCGAGCCCCGCGTCGGGCTCTGTGCTGACAGCTCAGAGCCTGGAGCCTGTTTCAGATCCTGTGTCTCCCTCTCTCTCTGCCCCTCCCCCGTTCATGCTCTGTCTCTCTCTGTCTCAAAAATAAATAAACGTTCAAAAAAATTTAAAAAAAAGTAACTAGTTCACTAAGGGATGAGAAAAAAAGTGGTATTTTTTTTTTTTTTACTAGACGTGGCTAGCCAGTTAGCACCACATTATAAAATAACGTTAAGTGAGAAAACTATGACAATGTGGTACTTGCATTACGTTTTGGAAATAATGAACTCAGGATCTAGTTTTTGCTTCTCAAACTACTATTCCTTGTGATTTTGGCTTGCTGATGCAGAAGTTTTTCCACTCACACGCTTTCTCTGTATTCAATGTGATGATGTCGCCCCCTGGTGGTGGAAAGCAGCAACACAAACCATCACGGGGAAGACCAGCTTGAGATGAGTGATTTATTTATTCAAGAAGTACTCCCAGGAGAAACTGATAAGGGAGTGGGGGACGCGAGACAGAAAAGGGAAGTCAGGGAAGGTGTTATTGAGGACAAAATCCTGTACAGGGAAGCCTGAACACTGTTCCTGGGGGGTACTCTGGAATGTAAGTTACACCTGCATTTATTCCACCTGGAAGCAGGGGAACTTGAATTTCCTACTCCATCACCCATCAGTCCTTAACTAACTGCTATTTGTGCCTGCTAACAAAGTGGCTTCAATCCTCTGGAAGAGAATAGTGAATATGGGCTATTAGAATAGCCTGGGAAGGGGCACATAGTTACGGTAAAAGAGATTCAAGGAGATGTGCTAAGAACTAGATGGTATCTGTTACAACATCCTCTCTATTGTTTTCTTAATAAAAATAAGAAGTTAAAAGCTAGCAGCTGGGTGGCTGGGTGGCTCAGTCAGTTGAGCATCAGACCCTTGATTTTGGCTCAGGTCATGATCCCAGGGTCATGGGATCAAGTTCCACCCTACTTAAGAACCTCTCTCTCTCTCCTCTGCCCCTCTTCTCCTCTCTCTCTCTCTCAAAAAAAAA